TGACCCACCCGCTGCTCCCCTCAGCAGTGTACTTCATCGATCTGCTTGTTCTGCTCCCCACTCTGTCTCTGGTGAAGCTTCTCACTGCCCCTGCACCTCTGGCCTGTACCCAGTTCTGTATGCACAAATAAATAAATCTAAAAAAAAAAGAACAAAGAACAAAGCTACAGCAAAGGCTTCTCTTCAAAATTTGCCATTTCCATGAATAGAAATTGAAAGTACTAGTTCTCCTTTCAGTGCCTGCCACAGTGTAAGAGCAAGCCTGACCAAGTGGTAGCCACAGTCCCACTCCCCAAGATTCCGAGGAACACCAACTGTGAGATGTTTCCAAGTATCAGAACCACAAACTCTCCAGCCGTGGATGGAATCTGATGAAGTGACGTCCGGAGGAGACAGCTGATGGACGTGTGACAAACTGTGACACCAGGGACCCAGGAAAGGTTTTGTTACTGGCATACAGACAAAATACAGGTAAATGTGAAATTTTTAAAAAATACTAAAATTTGAAGGGTGAAAGTTCAGTTATTTTGTGGCTAATTCTGAAACTACATTTGGTGGTTTCTTTAAATACCATGAACTATTTCAATACATACCTGAGAACAAGAAGAAATATCTTTAAAATTCTTTTCAAGCACAACTGATTTAGTGTCTGGACTGATAAGGTTAATCTCAAACCGTCCAACCTTAGAAAAAAAAAAAATGCCAGTTACCATTTGCTCACAGAGACCTAACATCTTATTTATGATTAAATATTCAATTAATACTATAGAACCAAGTGACAATCCCTGATATACATATTCACAGATGCTTCAACATCTTAAACTAACATTTCAAACTCCAACATCAACTGCTCCAAAAGATTTTCTCCTATTGTATAAAAATCATTAAAGTTAAAGCAGTCTCAATTTACTAGATATACTGAATCCTTTTTTAGGCTAGGAATGACTGACTTTCAAAAAACCACTTTCCCTCATTTCTTGATTTCTAAAAATACTAATTATTTGATTACAATTTATAGTAAAACTTTCTCCCAATTGATACACCCAAAATATCTAGATTTAAAATATAGATCCGCAAATGAGTGTATAAATTAAAATCTTTTAAATAAACCATCCAGAGAAATTAACTGCAAGGCTTGTTTCTAATTAAGAGAAAGAACAGTAGTAGCTCAAAGAGGAGAAAAACAATTAACATATCACACAGACAAAAAAAAAAAATCCTATGGGCACTTTAATAGCATGATTGGAATTATCAAGAACAAAACAAAACCCCAATGAACTTGTGTTAAAAAGTAAATATTATGCACTGAAACTGCTGACCAAGGCAAGTTGTGAATTCCCTTCTCCAGGAGTCTTTAAGCAGGTTAAAAAGACAGTCACTCAGGTCTTACAAGGTGAACATTAGGAGGCATTGCTATGAATTAAGTTCTTTTGAGCAGAACATGATATTTTCTCTACCCTGCACAACTTCATTCACTATTTTTCAGAATTTAAAATTCCTATTCAAGAAGCCCAAGGAGATTACAACTCAAGTGGAAAAGGCACAAAATGATGTAAAAATAATAAATAAATAAATAAATAAATAATCCCATTTACTATCATGTTCACATGATTTTGTTTCTAGTTATTTTAACAACTGATGCAGCAAATTATCAGGCCCGTCCTGTTTCTTTAACTTTCCCGGTCTATGACAGTGTAAACTTGATGAAAATACACCCAAGAGCCTCTGCACTTTTTTTTTTCTCTCTCTCTCTCCTCCAGGCCTAATCACACTCTCCACATTCGCATCTTTAATTTTTTTTAACAGATTAGTCTACCGCAATTACTTAAATGACAACATTTTTTTAAGAATCCACTTGAGGCAAACGCTGGTGATTCCAAGAGTAATCTATTCTAATTCTTTCCACCAGGTTTCCAATTATGCTCCTTTAATGGCTGGATTCTCCTTCTCTCCTTTCCCTGCTCTTACTTCTATAGCCACAGTGTAAGTCAGCCTTTCGGACATTCTACGGGGTGTGAAAAGGGGAATGGGATCAGAACTGGGATGGGCTGAGTGCGCAGACTATGGTGATGGCACACGGGTGAATTAGTGGTGGGAAACCCACGGGGATTACAACTGAGATGAAAAAATGCACAAAATGAAGACTGATGCAAAAAATAAATAAAATTTTCAAATAAATTTCAAAAAACAAACAAGTAAGTCAGCCTCTCAGTTGTTCTCTGCTGGGCTCCTCTCCTCCCCTGTCTCATCTGCGTGGCGCTGCCATGTGGGTAAGGGGAACAGGAAAAGTTGGATCATTGCAAAATGAAGAGCTGGACCCCCAGCGCCTCTACTTTTAGTAGCGACTGAGAAGCACCCCGTTAGCACGGCAGGGAGCACCTGAAAGAGCATGGTTCTGTTCTTCTCCGAGTCCGAGGGCTGCACGTGGCTGGGCGCGCTGGCGTGTCTCCTTCTGGGCTGCGCTTTCTGGCTGTTCTCGTGAACTCTCTTTTGCAGGACTCCGGTGACGCTGCTGCAGCGAGAGCGGAACTCCTGCTGTTCATCAAAGCCAGAGTCTTCCAAAATGCGCTCAGGGAAGCACCCTCGAGAGCTAGGCAGTCCCAGCTGGCTGGTGGCAGGCGGGAAGGCTGTGGGGGTGGGGAGAAGGCCATCCCCTTCCTCCAACAGAAGGTCTGTGGGGGAGTCGGGGGCCCCAGCCTCGAAGGTCACTGGTTCCCCACTGGCCTCCACGGTGCGCGGCCCCCCCTGGATCCTCAGGCGCTGCTGCTCGTGCAGGCTGAACTTCTCGATGCAGTCGTCAATGAGGCTGGACGGAGCCTTCTTGTGTGTCACCGTCACCTTTCCGCAGTACAAGACTTCGAACTTCTGCGAGTTGTAAAAGGCGTCCTCGTGGTCCTTGCTGGGCTTGGCATCCTCCTTCATGGCGGCTTTAGATAACTGTCTTATGCTGCTGATAACATCTGGAACCTGGAAGAGAAATCAAACGTCCTCATTTCAGGTGAATTAGAGATCATTTGTGTCCCTCAACATGTGCTATTGCCAGGTGGAATTCTCATTCTAAATGAAAAATATAGAAAGGAATACTCAGGCCCCATGTAAGATAACACATATACTATCAGACATAAATGAATTAAAAGCATGATTGGAACTGAATGACATCACTGTCTTACTTTCCGTTTTAAATGTATTTGTTTCCCCCAGACTATATAACTGTCAACATTTAATGAAATTTCACATATCATTTCAGTACTTTTCAAAGTTATTATAAGCCTCAATGGAAAGGAACGAAAGTGTCAATAAATGGATTAAGTGGATAGAAACATTAAAATGTAGACACCCCTCTCAACATTAGCCAACAGGAAAAAGCAAACAAGTGTCCACAGGGATACTTTACATAGCTAGGCAAGACAAAGAAATAACCTAAGCATCAATGAGAACTGTGTGGATAAGGAAAATCGCACACACACCAGAGGAATATGAATCAGTACTAGAACTCCCATATGCAGGAATATAAAGTGGCACCATCACTTTGAGAGCATTCAGTGAAATAATTCAAGATAAAGAGTAGTATCATCATTGAATAGTGGTTTACACTATTCAGGACTTTGTTTTTTTTTTTAAGATTTATTTATTTATGCATGCAGAACTGGGTACAGGCCAGAATTGCAGGGGCAGTGAGAGGATTCACCAGAGACAGAGTGGGAGCAGAGTAGGCAGATCAATGCAGAACACTGCTAAGGGGAGCAGCGGGAGAGATAGGAGAGGTCTGCTGCGCCATGTGGATCACCTCCGGGGTGGGGGATAGAACTGGCACTAAAGCAACTGTAGCTAGCTTGCAGTGCTGCTTCCTAACTTGCTGCACCACCAGGGAGGGCCCTGTTCAGGATTTTCTTAAGAGTGAAACACATCTCTCTCATGACCCAGTCCTTTTATTCCTAAAGACTTATCTGGAAACAAATCCACACCAGACTGTAACAAATATTCATAGAAGCCCTAGTGACACTACCCTTAACTGGAGTCAACTCAAATGTCTATCAAGAAGTAAATGCTGACCAATAAGAAATGCAAACCAAAACCACAGTGTTACACCTGTTGGTCCAGCTACCATCAAAAAGAAGGGATACCCAATGTTGTTATAGCATATATAACTAGCCAAGGCATGGAAGCATCCAATGATGGGCATAGGCATAAAGAAATTTACATGCACACACACACACACTGGAATGTTATTCAGTCACTCAAAAGAAGGAAAATCTGTCATCTGCAAACACATGGGTGGACCTCTTTGGGGGCATTATGCTAAGTGAAATAATTCAAGATAAAGACAAGTATCATGTGGTCTTTCACACTGAACTTCTATTTGTTTCTTCATGTGGAATCTGAGAAAACCAACTCTTGATCCAAGAACAGGCTGATGATTTCTGAAGGAGGAGGTAGCAGAGGGGAGTAAGGATCTAAAGGTTGGAAACCTCCAGTTATAAGATAAATAAATACTGTTGACTCTAGTTTACTATTTTGTAAAAATTGTATTTTTACTACTGAAAATTGTTAACAAAGAGTGATTCAGAAGTCCTCATCAAAAGAAAAAAACCGTAACTATTTGAGGTTAGTGATGTTAATTTATTGTGCTAGGACATTTACAATGATACATGTATGTTGTACACTTTGGACTAATACAACCTTATCGTGTCAATTATAGCTCAATAGAGCTGGGGGAAAGTGAGCATAAAAACATGGTACAGTCACACAATGGAATACTCTCCCCCTCACCTGGTTTATTGCAATCTACTCTCAAAAGCCATCAGTCTACTCTCAAAAGCCAAAATGATCCCTTTAAACTGAAGTCATATCACTTACCTGCACATCTTCCAAGCTCCCCACTTCATTAAGAGTGAAAAGACAAACCCTTACAATAAATAGCCCACAGGGCCCTCCACATCTGTAGGAGGGGCTGCATTTAAGATGGAATACACACTGAGGGTCCACGGCCTCCAAGTGACATTTAGAAGTCCACCTGAATTTCCTTTTCACTCTCCCCTCATGTCCTCTGACATTACTTCTACAATACACCCACCCACTCACTCACTCAGCTCTAGCTACACTGAACTTGCACCTATTCCTTGAACAACCCACACTCTCCTCCAGCAAAGTCTCTAGACAGCACGTGCCTGCCTCAGATCACTCATTTAACTCATTTAAGTCTACGTTCTCATGTCAGCTTAGTAGACAGCAGCCATCCCAACCTCATCTCACTCACACACATACACACAGAGAACATTCTCCTGGATTTCTTTCTCTACTTTACTCTCCACCATCTGTACTGTATTGCACTTATCACCACTAAGTGTTTTTATCATTTATTTGCTGGAATGTAAGCTCTGGGAGGATGGCGATTTCCTTCTCCCCCCAACCCCTTTGTTGTTTTCCCAGAGTCTAGACTAATTCCTGCAACACAGTAGTTCTTCAATAATATGAGCTGGCCAAACAAACAATAAACTCTTTTTGTACATTTTTAACTTTGAAAAAGGGAGACTTTTGTGTTGAGTTACTTCACATTAAGAAAGCTATGACATATTTTCAAATCTTCCATTACCAATTCTAAATCCAGAATTTCTTTTCTTTCACATTAGTATGTGGGTATACTGACAGAGCAGTCACAATTTTAACGTCAAAAAAAAAAATTCAATGTGCTAGTACAAGTATTTCCTATAAAAGACACAATTCCAAATGCTGTATTTTCAGTGATTCAGCTTGACCTCTGAATATGTCTCAGGAAAGAAGTATGCTGTTTTGTATTAACACATGACTAACAAACTCAGTTCTCTGTGTTTTCCTTCTGCCTTAGACCTTACAAAGACCACCAGTATAAGGAATGAACTAGACATTCAAACCTACAAAAAAAAAAGATTGTAGCAGGTTGGGCAAATCCTAAAACAAATGGAGCCTTTCTTCCTCACTAATCATAGTTCCTTAAATACTTTTCAATTAATTTTGAAATCTCAATTTCTTAAACTCCCAAAGTATCTCCATAAGAAATACGAACTACACAACTTTTTGAACCTGCAGAATTTTGATCCTACAGCAAATATTTAAATAACTATTAGCTATATCCTGCCACTGAGATTGCAAATAAAGACAATTCAACCTTAGTTGTGTCAATTCCTCTTGACTATGTTTGCACTTCTCACTATTAGATCAAGCGTGCTTATATGAAGAACTGACAAGGGGCTGAATTTCTTCAGTACTATAGAGCTGTGAACACAGGCTCAAACCTAAATTCAGTGACAGTTTTCATCAGCAAATTATACCTTTTCTCATAACTAAACACAGCTTTCAATGACCTGGGCTGTAGCCAACTCTTGAAACTGGTCTAACAACTCCAGCTTTATGCTTGTGTATCTTATGGAAGACACCTATGAAAATGAACATTACAAATGCTCTCAAAACCCACACCAGAAAGGACACGCCAATAAAGAAGGGATAATAAAACATCCGTAGTGAATAAATGGAAATTAGAGAACCCTGAATTTCTTCTGATACCTTTACTTAAGGGACCGATCAGATGCAGAGCATGAGAACTAAAAATCTCTACCCAGAACTTGCACACACACCATACTCTGGGGGACAAAGTTGTTCTCTTATTTTTCACAGAAGTTGACCCTTCCCTGTATACACTGCATCTTTCAACATCCCTTTTATTCTCCACCCTTGTATTGTGAGCTCTAAAATGAAAGCCTGAATCAGAGTGTTTTTGAGTTTTGCTAGACTTCTTCCACATCATGGGAAAGACATCCATGCTCAGAATGAATTGTGTAACTGCCGTCAGCAGAGACAGAGAAGTAGAAGTTCACATCTACTACATTCTCCAGCATTAAAACAAGATTTGTCCATTTCTGTTGATAACTCAAGAGAGATGGCAAAATGCAGAGTCCTGGCTTTCACTCTTTTCATTGTTAGCCTCACCTAGGCAGCAAACACGTGAGTTGGAGTTGTGTCCAGATGGTAAAGAGCCCCCAAAGGAATGCACACCAGTTGCAAATTCTGCTAATTTATATACTAGTTGCAAATAATCCTACCGCTAAAGACCTAATTCCCACAGAGCCTGATAAGGACTTAATGCCAATTCAAGGCAAAGTTTTCATTCTAGGGCACTTTGTATTCTTTAACACAAGACAACAATAATGAAGAAACACTACCAAACCAGAAATTGAGATAGTCACATACTATCCCCAGCTCTGAAAAAAAACAGTCCGCAAATTGCTGCATCTGCTAGTCTTCCCCTAGAAACTCTGCACTAATAAAAAGGAGAGAGGGGCTATATAGATGGTTAAAAAGGTCTCATCTAGATCCACATTCCTGTGTGTTTACTTTAGCATTACTGTTGGTATAGAAGCAAGACAACGAACTTAAAAAGGAAATGGAACTGTATTACTAAAACAGAAAGTCCAACGTCATTCTTTCCCATTAACACACGCTAATCAGGTCAACAAACAAGAAAATAAACTAACTTTTTCCAAATAGCTCATGGCATTTAGAAAAAAACACAGTGCCACCTTTGGCTAGTGTTTTGTTATTACACTTTCAAAGACCTCACTAAAACAATTAAGATTCAACTATCAAAATTCAGCCATTAAAATAATTCCTCACACCACAAGGGGGAAAAAAAAGTCACGAAATCCCTGTTTTGTTTTTTTTTTTTTACATGAACTAGTTATAATTAGCTATCACACACCAAGTAATCCAATGCATTGAAGAAATTATCCTTCACCTGACTTTAAGAGAAAAAAAGTTCTACAACTACACCCATTGCACAAATACATGACAGCCGAAAGCATTGAAAAATACCTCTGGTCAGGACGTGGGTTGAAAATTGCGATTATCCTAAGAACAAGGAAGACACTGGCCCCATGGATTCCTTAATATTAGCCTTGTATCACACTTAAGTTCTTTTTCGTTCTAAAAAAACC